CATGACTTGTCCGACCAACTACTCTGGAAAACTGAACAATTAGCTGCATAGTACGCGCCGAATTGCAGTCAGGAGTACCAACAACCAATAGGCTGCATGGAATTGAAACAAAGCGATCATTAAGCCACCAAAAGCACTTACTCTTTATAAGTCATTCCGGTAAGTTCAATGCCATTAATTGCCAAAATTCGGTCACCGAGGGCAAGTTTTTGTGAATGCTCTGCTGGGCTATTTGGAGTCACGTGCGTTATGTAGATTCCAGGCTGATCCAGACTCGTTTTCTAAGCAAAAGGAGCAACCGAATGAGGAAACATTAAAAAAACACTGCTTCTTAGGACAAATAAAGAAAATCCGGAGGGCCTATTAGTTCTCCATCATGAATAAGTGAAAAACGTAGAGGTGGTTGTATTTTGAGCCTAAATTTGATCACTTCTATATGGCCTGACAAAATTTAGGAGCAAAAACTGTTTTTCTGTAATATGGCTCAGGGCTTTTTTAAAGGAAATGCATGACAGGTGTTTCAGACGAAGCATTTAATAATACGATTGTGACTAAAGCAACAGAACTCTGAGTCGACAGGACTAGTTGGGGGTAAGATAACGTTCATTTAATCTGAAAAATCCAAGGATAAGTTACTGACTAATAAGACGGCATGCCTGTCTACTAAATCATGTAAAGTGCCAAACTCCACTCATAAAATGTAATATGCATTTGCACAGTTTTAAGTCACTTTGCTTGAGTTCAATGACGGTTAAAGTTTTAAAAAGTCAGCCTGCATTGTATGCAGGAATAACTATAAAGGAAGATTAGCAGTACGAAATCTTGCAAAAGCCGTACTGTTGATAAAACGTATTTTGAAGACAAATCGCGCATGAATTTTGCTTTCAATTTGTCCTTTATGGAATAATATACATTTAAAATAGGCTATTGTGGTAGATAGCACGACACTCGAAAGTAACTGATAATCCATTAGACGGTTACCCGAGATCACTATTATATTGTGATTTTTCACAACTTAACTTGGATTGAGATTGTTAAAATCAGCCACAACACAACAAAATTCCACGCCTACTCAGAGAGGCAAGCAAGTTGGCCCAAAAGATTTCTCAAAACAGATATTCTCTTCAAAATGCTAATTTGTGAAGATCCGCTTAAACGTAAAGCACGTTTTCTATAATGTAAACCAAGTCCTCAATTT